CCACTGATATCCATTAAAACCTACTGACTCCCACAGCTACCTTTGACTGCACATCCTCACATCTTGCATCCTTTAAGAATTCCATTCCATTCTCCCAGTTCCTCTGTCTCTGTCACATCTGTTCTGGTGATGCCACCTTCCACAGGTGGGCCTCAGAAATGTCCACGTTTTTCCTCAACTGAGGATTCCTTGCTACCGTGATTAATATGGCCCTTAGCTGTGTTTGATCCATTTCCCGTACTGCTGACCTCACCCTTTCCTTCCCTCTGACCTCAAAACAACAATAGGGTTCCCCATGTCCTCACTTTTTACCCCACAAGCCTCCCCTTCCAAAGGATCTTAAGCCACCATTTTGATCATCTCTAGTGGGATGCCAACATGAGACACACATTCCCTTATCATTCGACAGGGATCATTCCTTCTGCAACACCCTGGTCCACTCCGCCTCCACTCCCAATACCAGCTAACTCCCCCACAGCACCTTCCCATGCAGTCAAACGGAAGGTGCACTACCTGCCCATATACCTCCTCCATCCCCACTTTCCAAGGCCCGAGACACATCTTCCAGTTGAAGCAATGATTTACCTGCAATTCGGTCAATCCAGTCTACAGTATTCACTGTTCACAATGTAGTCCCCTTTGCACTGGGAGGAGAAAACAGACTGGACAACTGCTTTGTGGAACACCTGTCTGTAAAAATGACCCTGAACTTCCAGTTGCTTGACACTTCAACACACCAGTATGTTCATATGCTAACACTTCTGTCTCGGCCTGTTGTAATGCTCCAGCGAAACACATGCTGGAGGAATAACACCTCATAACTATCTCTCTGGGCACTTTACATTCTTCAGGATTCAACATCAAGTTTAACAACTTCAGAGCACAAACACCCCCATAACCCCTGATCCTGTCATAAAATAGATCGCTTTCAGCACAGCTAACCCATTTTCAAATACTAATAGTCACCAGTATCACCTACCTAGCTTCTCTTCCATGGCTTACTATCAACAATTCGTTTGTCTGCCTAGCCTTTCTTTCTCTCTGTCTGGGCTCTGGGCTTGTTAACTCGGTCCTTTTCACCCCCGCATCCACCTCATTGCCAGCATAAACACCATCTTTTCTGAGCTGCTTCTGATTCTGAAGAAGTCATTGGACTCAAAACGTTAACGCTGTTCTCTCCACTGATGCTGCCTGACCTGCTGAGGTTCTTCAGCAATTTCCGTTTGTGTTTGTTTCAGATCTCCAGCATTCACAGTTCTGTTTTATTATAAAAGTCTGATGTTTTATTTCATTACCCACTTCTTTACTCACTTCTTCCTTAGTCATTATTCTTAAACTCCTATTTGCACATTTTTTGAGCTTACTACTTAGTCATAGAGTCATACAACATGGACCAAAAACAAAAGCGTTCTGGAAAGCTCAGTAGGTCTGGCAGCATCTGTGAAGAGAAATCAGAGTTAACATCTCGGGTCCGGTAACCCTTCCTCATTTCTCTTCACAGATTTTACCAGACCTATTGAGCTTTTCCAGCAATTTGTGGTTTTGTTTCTGATTTACAGCATCCACAGTTCTTTCGGTTTTTATTCAGCATGGACCAAGTTGGCTTCGGTCCAACACATCCATGCAGACTAGGTTTCCAGACTAAACTAGTCGTATTTGCCCATATCCCTCTGAATCTTTCCTATTCATGTCCCTGCCCAAACGTCTTTTAAATGTTGTAACTGCACCTGCATCTACCACCTCCTCTGGCAGTTCATTCCATAAACGCACCACCCTCTGTGTGAAAAAGTTGCTCCTTAGGTCCCTTTTAAATCTTTCTTTCTCACCTTAAAACTCTGCCCTCGAGTTTTTAACTCCCCTCCCATAGGGAAAAGACCTTTGCTATTCAACTTATCTATAACCCTCATGATTTTATAAACCTTTTATAAGGTCACCACTCAACCTTTGACGCTGCAGGGAAAGAAGTCTCAGTCTATCCAGCCTCTCCTTATAACTGCAGTCCCGTCAACATGTAGAATCCCTACAGCGCAGATAGAGGCCAAATGGCCTCTATCAACACTACACCAACCCTCCGAAGATCATTCCACCCAAACCCATTCCCCTGTAAGCCCGTATTTACCACGGCTAACCGACTTATCCTGCACATCTTTGGACACTACAGGGCAATTTAGCATGAGCAATTCACCTAACCTGCACATTTGCACTGTGAGAAGAAACCGGAGCACCCAGCAGAAACCCACACGGACATGAGAAGAATATGCAAATACCACACAGACAGTCACCCAAGGCTGGAATCGAACTAGGTCCTTGGCACTGTGAGGCAGCAGTGCTAACTACTGAGCCACTGTACTGCCCATCCCTGTATATCTTTCTGCACCCTTTTCAATTTAATAATATTGTTCCTATAGCAGAGTCATTGGAATTGTACACAGTACTCCAAAAGTGGCCTCACCAGCGTCCTGTACAATCACAACATGATGTCCCAACTGCTATACTGTATGCTCTGAGCAATGAAGGCAAGCATACCAAATACCACCTTCACCACCCTGTCTACCTGTGATGCCACTTCTGAGGAACCATGTACCAGAACCCCTAAGTCTCTCTGTTCGGCAACACTTCTCAGGGCCCTACCATTAACTGTGTAAGTCCTGCCCTTATTTGCCTTACCAAAATGCAACACCTTGTATTTATCTAAATTAAACTCCATCTGCCACTTCTTGACCCTCAGCAAAATGTACAAAGTTTTGGGCAAGAGCTTGGTCTTTTGATTTGATGCCTGTTTTGAAAAGATCCATCGGAACAGGTTAGGAGGCAAAGTTGAAGCATATGGCATTAGGATTATATACTGGTATGTGTCAAGAATTGCTTGACAGGAAAGAAACAGAATAGAAATAAAAAATTGGCGGACAGTGCTTGGGCCCCAGTTATTCACAACATATATAAATGGCCTGAATGAGGAAACCAAATGCAACATTTCCAGTATTTAATGTTTTGGAGTAGATCAGTAGCTCGGGTTGTGGGTGTTGAGGTTGGTTGGCTCGCCGAGCTGGTTTGTTATTCCGCAGACGTTTCGTTACCGTGCTTGGTAACATCCTCAGTGCAGCGTCGGTGTGTTTTCCCGCCTGGTTTTTAAACTCTGGGGTCCGTTGCTATGGATTGCCTCACTTCCGGGTTTCCTCCGTAGTGGAATGTATATGGGGTCAGGTTCAATGTGTTTATTAATAGCATGCTTCGTGGAGTGCCATGCTTCCTGGAATTCTCGTGCTTGTCTCTGCCTAGCCTGTCCCAGGATCTTGGTGTTGTCCCAGTCGAAGTGGTGGTTCTCCTTGTCCATGTGGATTGAGATGAGTGAGTATTGGTCGTGTCTTTTTGTAGCCAGTTGGTGTTCATAAACATGCTATTGCATGTTATATAAGCACGCTATTAATAAACACATTGAACCCGACCCCATATACATTCCACTACGGAGGAAACCCGGAAGTGAGGCAATCCATAGCAACGGACCCCAGAGTTTAAAAACCAGGCGGGAAAACACACCGACGCTTCATCGGAGGCTGCACTGAGGATGTTACCAAGCACGATAACGAAACGTCTGCGGAACAACAAGCCAGCTCAGCAAGCCAACCAACCTCAATTTCCAGTATTGCTGATGACACAAAACTAGGTGGGACTGTAAATTGTGAGGAGGATTCAAGGCGTTTTACATCAATTGAGTAAACACATGGCAGACAAAATATAATATGGCTAAATGCAAAGCTCATCATGAGAAGCAGAAGGGCAGAGTATTATTTAAATGGTGATATGTCAAGAAGTGAGGATGTACAAAGGGACCTGGGTGTCCTTGTACACCAATCAATGAAGGCAGGCACAATAAGCAATTAGTAAGACAAATTATATTTTGGCCTTCATTGCAGATTTGAGTTCAGATGTAGGGGTGTCTTACTGTAGTCATTTAGGGTCTTTGTGATATCACACCTACTCAGGTGTGTGAAATTTTGGTCTCCCTACCTAAGAAAAGATGTCCTTGCCATAGAGGGAATGTTCATCAGGCTGATACTGGGCTTGGCAGGAATTTGCAATGAAGAGATTGGTTTGTATTCGCTATAGAGGGATGAGAGGGATCTGATTGAAAAGTGAAATTCTAAGAGGGCTGGACTAACTAGATACAGGGAGGATGTTTTCCCTGGTATGGAGAGTCTAGAACCAGGGGACACAGTCTTAAGATACAAGGTAGACCATGTAAGACTGAGATTAGGAATTTCTACTCTAGAAGGCTAGGGAGGCCAAATCATTGAATATTTTTAAGAAAAAGATAGATAAATTGTTTGATTTTAAAGACACCAAGGAACTGGAGAGAAAGTAGAAATTACTCTTACCAGCTTTCTGACACTTGTTAGTCATAATTCTTGGAATAATGATTCTACTTCAAGATCTTCTGAGACCAGATCTTTCCTCATCACTGTTGTCATCTGACTGAATTTGTTAAGACTTGCTCTCATGTCCTGTAAGTTTACCCCCTTCCCCTTCATTCTGGGAATTCTCAAAACTCCAAAAGATAGTGTTACCTTCACAACTTCCATTTGGAATGCAACTTGCATAGGTTCTCGCCATGATGTCCTTGACAACATACTTCCTTCACTCTTTGCATTACCAGAAGGTTATATGCACTGTTCTGCATCCAAGGAGCCGCAGAGGCATTTCTCCACACTTCCACTTGATTTGTACAGATTCAAAACTCCAAAGTTGTATAGATAAAGAGGGAAAAGGATAGGTCAGATTGTGCAGCAGTAACATTACTACAACCATTTGGCATAGTTTTCCTCAAAAGGATAGGGTATGAGGGATGATTATCATTGAGAAGAATGGAGAGGAATTTGTACAATAGTGACTCGATACATTTAGGAAGAATTTAGTAGGTAAGACTGCTCTGTATCTGTATGTGTGTTGGTTCTGACTGCTGCAATTTCTGTGATAAATTTTTTTCCTGAGTTATGCTTCAGCTATTGCAGCACACTGTAGTGCTTGCATCTGTCTTTCCTTCTTTGTCTTTGCGAAATGGGAGTGTTGGACCTACTGGTATATCTTTAGCTTCTGCAGGTATCACTGATACATTTTCATTTAATTTTTGCTCAGTTTCACAGGTCTGCGAGATGGATTATGTATTTGGTGATAAATATAATTCAAACAAATAATGGCACCATTATCAGGTCAGAGATAAAAACTAAAAATGAATAATGGACACTTCAATCACATAGGCCACTGTAAGCTCACCACCAACCCAAAAATCGAATCATGATAAATCTAGAAGCAGCTGGTCATGGCTACCAGTACAAACAGATCAGGTATTAACACATCAACCATCCAGGCACAAGCACAAAATAGACTCTGCATATTGACACACAACCATTCAGAGCAATGCCCCTTATCCAATTCATACAGAATACAGTTTGATGGCAGAATTATGTCCGCTTTTCTCTCCAGATCAAAAACTACAAAGACAACACGGCAGAGAAAGCTAGAAGTGCTGAGTAGCCTACTCCTATTTCTAAGTCCTATGTAATACACATCGATCTTTCTTTCTCCATCCATGTACTGTTAGGCCTATATACAAGAGGGTGCTTTATGACAATGCTGAATTTAGTCACTGTTCCAGAAGGACTCTGACCTTTTTTAGTTAAAGCAAACTCTTCTCAGAAATAACCAACACTCATCTGTCTCTATTTTGAAATCAAAATTCCAATGAAACATAATATATGTAAATTATACGCCCTTCACAATACTGATCTTGCTTCCACGCCCAGCAGAGATGCTTAGTGTTACCAACATTTTGGCACAAAAAATAGGTTTGTACTCGGAGGGAGTGCACTGTTTCATATTATACATTAAACCGAGGTCCTAGCTACTCTTTCAGGTAGAAGGTCCCTTAGCAGTATTTCAGACAAGAGGAAGCGACATCTGGTCATCTGGCAAATATTTAACCATCAATTTCATTAGCCGTTAAGCACTTTGAGACACTGACATTATGAAAAGCGCTCTTTAGATGGAATTATTTCTTTTATTTTACTAGATCACGTGACACATTGTGGGGTACGGTGTACAAATGCACACTTAAGCACATAGCTCTTGGTCTAGCTGGACTAACACACATCCATCAATCACAGCATTGAGGACACTCATACTAAAGTGTACCCAAATAATCAGCACTGCGTACAGCTCTGTTAACACCTTATTGTAGATCCCTGTACTAACTCAATGGTGCACAAATTAAAAGGTACTCCTTTGACAACAGAATCGTGGCTTGGTATTGCTGCACCAGTGCACAGAGACATAAGTTCCTTATTGATAACTCTTGCGTTTTTGTCTAGATTGTGTAACATAAAATGCTTGTACATAGAAGAATTTTTAATCTGATGTATAGTGATTCTTTTTTCTTTTAGTGCTCTTCCAGCAAGTATTGAAATCGTTCTGATGATTGCAGTTTTTGGGTTGAAGAAGAAGCCATTGTGAATGTACCAAAACCCCTTATTACTGGAATCCACCAGTGAAGTAACAAGAATAGTGGAAGATGTGACCAATTGCAATGGATCTCCACTCAGGATTGTGTTGTGGATACCGGCAACATTTATAGAACTTTCCAGGATATGTTACAAAACATGTATGTCATTGTCTATATTATATCACCTTGATATCTCCTTCTTCATTATAGAAAGTATGGATCTCATGTTCCATTATAAATTGTGTACATTATATGTTATATTACAGAACTATATATTACATAATTCAATATTGAACTTTTTTTAGCATCTCTGGTTTCGATATATCTATCAGAACCTGCATTATATGTGTATACCAGTATCTCCATTTCAGAACATGAATATCACAGTTTATGTTATTGAACATGTTTACTTCTAGGATCTCTGTTCTAGAAGATGTGTAATCAGTCTCCATTATAGAAAGTATACATTGCTACCTTCTTTAGAGTCCTTTGTGTTTGCTAATGTCCACCTCACAGATCAAACTGTGGAATACCCAGGGAGAAGTTGTTTCTTTTGCAATTCTGATCATTTGCCTGCTTCCGTATACACTGTGACACATATGAGCAGGATACTGTTGGAGTGTGTCAAACTGTCCAACAAATGGGAAGGTTAGATGCAGATCCAGCTTCTTTCCTGTTGGATGTTAGGAGTAACCAATGTGGTAGTGAGCTATCAGGAAAGCTGAACTAACTGACCTCAGCTGAGGTGACATCTGGAACTGACCTTAGTGCCCCTGAGTTAGGGAAAGTGAATATCAGCTACAATTCCTACTTCTGTGATATATGTAGGAAAGTACATGTTTGTGTGTGTTAACTCAGCATTAAACTTAGTGGATTATTCCTGCAACTGAGTAAGCTAGACACACAAAATATTTGCAGTTTAATGATGAATTAGAAAGGGGTTGATTTTCATGTCTTCATGGGTACAGACGGCCTCAACCATGACCTTGGGTTCATGTTACGCTACATGTAACCCCACCATACTGTTCTGTATCTGTAAGATCTTCCTTATTGTTCTGTTTTGACACCATCACCTCTAACTTGTTATGATCTCTGTACCTTAATTAGTTTGTACAGTTTTGGATTACTTGTTACTTTGGTTAAACCCTCAGCATGTGACTCTCATACCTATTATCTTATTCCAACCATTTGGTTTGGTTCCGTCACCACCCTAGTTTTAATTTTTTTGTAATTATCTCTTAGCCTCAATTAATCGGATTAAAGGTCATCCCTTCACTTGCTATTCAGCTGTTGACACTTGATTCACACTGTCTGACACTTTTGATCACCTGCAGAGACTTATTATTCAGCCTGTCGACACTCCAGTCACACCGTTTGTATGATCTTTTGATCTTTCTGCCTACAAATTATGTGCCTGTGAGATTCTCTTCACTCCACCTGACTAAGGAGCAGCGCTGCAAAAGCTTGCAATTTCAAATAAACATCTTGGACTATAACCTGGTGTTGTGTGACTTCTGACTCTATCTTTATCTGTTTGCAGACTCATTATGTCCTCTTCACTCTTAGTTATCTGTGTGCCGTTAGCAAATTTAGCAGCCAGGCACTCAGTTTTTCCATCCAGGTCATTGATATTGATTGTAAATAGTTGAGAATCCAGTACTAATGCTTGGGGCACTCCTCATTAATTCTTGTCAGCTGCAAAAGGCTCATTTATGCCTATTTCCTGCTTGCTTTAACTAACAAATCATTGAACCATGCTTTTCACCTTGAGCTCTTATTTTATACAATAAACTTTGAGATGGCACTTTGTCAAATACTTTTTGGAAAACCAAATATACGACATCTGCAGGTTTCTCTTTGCCCACGTTGCTTATTTCTTCCTTAAAGAACACCAATACATCAAGCAGGATTTCCCTTTCACGAACCATCTTGACTTTGCCTGATTGCATTTAGACTTTCTAAGTGTTGTGATATAACCTTGTTAATAATAGATTTCCAAATTTTTCCTTCAACAGATGTGGAGTCACAAAGTGGTGATGATTGTTCTTTGATCGTGAGATTGGAAAGGTATTTGAAAAGGTAGCTTTGTTGAATGCCTTGGGGTCGATGCCTAATCTAAGTTTGTCCTTTTATATGGTATATGTAAAGCAATGACTAGCTTTGGTATTCTTGACAATGGGTTAATTTAATCCATGATACTGGCACCTTTAAAACCAATAAACAGGGACAAAATTAACAATCATTAGAAGAAATGTAGATACATAAAGCAGAGACATTGCAGATTTGTTAATGAAAAATCATTTTTAAGTAACTGAGGGAATAGAAGTGGTTAATATGGGTAAGTGCATGCATATTATTACAAAAATCAGACTTTTGGCACATTATCAGGCAATTTGGCCCAACCAGACCTTTCCTGTATTTATGGTTTACTTCAGTCGCATCACAGCCTTGGCTATTCATATTTATTTCATTAGGGCCTAAACTCTCCCATGTCCCAGCCCCCCACCCCACACACCAGGCTTTGTTACCACATAGCCTGCCATTACACACCCCCTGTTTCATCCAACCTATTTCATTCCCTCATTTGCTTTCCACTAAATAACATTAAAATATTTTTGCATGACCAAGCTCTGATTTACTTTTCCTCCACAGATGTTGCCAGACCTGCTGAGCTTTTCCAGCAACTTTGTTTTTGTTTCTGATTTACTGGGTCTGTTAAACTGCTTGCGATGTTCATTATAATTTCCAGAAATTATGATATAAGTAGGTTACGGCAAACTTTTTTATCAGTTAATGACATTTCTATTTTACGTAGTCCCTTCACAAAGTAAACTTATTCCGATTTTCTGCCTGACTACACTCTCTTTGGGATAGATCAGTCACAACTCCTTTCCTTCACTGAAGCTGGTTGTGTAGTCTCCAGTTTCAAATTGTCACAGTTTATAAATCTGATGTCTGATAGCACTGTGGTGTCCAGTGTGAGGTTGAGATTTGCCCAGTGAGATTAGTTTCACCTGTCCGGTTAAAGGGATCTCACTTTGAAGTAAGTGGTACAAAAACAAAGTTGCTGGAAAAGCTCAGCAGGTCTGGCAGCATCTGTGAAGGAGAAAACAGAGTTAACGTTTCGGATCCAGTGACCCTTCCTCAGAACTGATGGTGGCTGGGAAAACGTCAGTTTATATGCAGAAAATAGGGAAGTGGGTGGGGTAGGGAGTAAACGATAGGATAGAACCCGAAGAGAGAGAAAGACAGTTGGTGAGACAAAGGAGTTGCTAACGATCAGGCTGGGAGGGTGAATCGTTGTTAATGGGGACTGTTAGTGACTAACAACAGGGGGTGTGTAATGGCAGGCTATGTGGTAACAAAGCCTGGTGTGTGGGGTGGGGGGCTGGAACATGGGAGAGTTTAGGCCCTAAAATTATTGAACTCAATATTGAGTTCAGAGGGCTGTAGGGTCCCCAAGTGGAAAATGAGGTGTTGTTCCTCCAGCTTGTGTTGGGCTTCACTGGAACACTGTGGCAAGCCAGAGACAGAGATGTTGGCCAGGGAGCAGGGTGGTGCATTGAAGTGGCAGGCAATGGGTAGTTCAGGGTCTTTTTTGCGAGCAGAACATAGATGTTCTGCAAAGCAGTCGCCAAGTCTACGTTTCGTTTCCCCAATGTAGAGGAGACCACATTGTGAGCTGCGAATACAGTAGACTAGATTCTTGGAAGTGCAGGTGAAGTGTTGCTTCACCTAGAAGGTATGTTTGGGCCCTTGAATACTCGTGAGGGAGGAGGTAAATGGGCAGGTGTTGCACCTTCGCCGGTTAAAGGGGAAGGTGCCGTAGGGCTGTGGGGAGGTGTTGGGGGTGAAGGAAGTGTGGTCCAGGGTGTCCCGGAGGGAACAGTCCCTGCGGAAGGCGGACAAGGGAGGGGAGGGGAATATGTGTCTGGTGGTGGCATCTTGCTGGAGGTGGTGGAAATCTGAAAATCTTTTGGATGTGGATGCTGGTGGGATGGTAGTTGAGGATAAGGGGAACCCTATCGCTGTTGCGGGAGGGAAGAGAAGGGGTGAGGGCGGAATTGCGGAAGATGGGTCGGACCTGGTTGAGGGCCCTGTGGACAATGGAGCTGGGGAATCCTCGGTTGAGGAAGAATGTGGACATTTCGGAGGCTCCCTTGTCAAAGTTGGCCTCATCTGAACATATGCGACGGAGATGAAGGGACTGAGAGAATGGGATGGAGTCTTTACAGGAAGTGGGGTGTGAGGATGTATAGCCCAGGTAGCTGTGGGAGTCAGTGGGTTTGTAATGGATATTAGTGGCCAGTCTATCCCCAGAAATGGAAACGGAAATGTCGAGGAAGGGAAGGGAAGATTCAGAGATAGACCAGATGAAAGTAAGGGCAGGGTGGAAATTGGAGGCGAAATTGATGGAAGTTTTCCAGTTCCAGACGAGACAGGGAAGAACTGTTCCTGATATTTTCCTGAATGGGCTAGATTTAATTTTAAGTTTCTGGCCATAAGTTCTGGGTTGCCCACCTAAGGAAAGAGTTGCTATCTATCAATTCTTACCCTCTGCACTCCTTTGATCATCTTAAACACCTCACTTATACGATCCCTTAACCATCAATACAAAACAAAATACAAGTCTAATCTCAACATCCTGGTCTTGTGTTTTAACTGTTCATGGAATCTTACTGCATTTTCCTCCATTACAATGATGACTACACCTTGAAAGCACTTTGTCAGTTATACATTGCTGACTGAGGTAGTGAAAGATGTTATATAAATGGAACCTCATATTTCTTTTTACAAAGCTGAAAGGGGCATTTCAATTTTATGAAGACGAACGCCAACAATGTGATAATGCAAACTGTTCACACATCCATCAAGCACTGAAAACTTGAAGGAAACCTGACCTATGACTAACAATTCCTCTGCTTCTTTAAAGGCTACAATCTGGAGATCAGAATTCCTTTTCCTATTCATAAAAGTGATTTCTGTTCCTCTCTGATTATGTCTTTCTAGTCCTGCTCACTCCTTCTCGACTAACCCCACTGTGCTGCATTAGTCTAATCATCTCAATTCAGGCTACAAAGGGACTGTTCCTGTGCTGTACTCTTCTATATTCTATGTACCCTTCTTGTCACTGGCTAGATCTGTGTGGGTGTGGATTAAAATTGGAGTGAAAAAAATTACATAACTGTAGATGGATGTTTATGCAATGGATTAGCGTCAGAAACAGCAACTTGTAGTTGATAATGATGGATCAGATTTAGGCTTCAGATAAGAATAGCATGTGACAAGTTTTGCATTCTCACCATTCTGTGTGCGGTTAAGTTTCTCTGGAATTGCTTCTTGGATGTATTGCTGATTGGTGCATTGTTGTGGTCCCTAATTTTGGATTTCTGGACACAGGTGAAAACATCTTCTCTCACTCTGACCTATCGAACACCCCAATAGAATCTCTGTGGGGGCAGACTATTCAGCCCATTGAGTCCACAACCCAGATCCATCCCCCTCTCTATCCCTGCAACCCTCCATTTCCCATGGTTAATCCACCTAACCTACACATTCCTGGATACTATGGGCATTTTGGAATGGCCAATCCACCTAGACTGCACATCTTTGGACTGTGGGAGGAAACCAGAGCACCCAGAGGAGACCTATGCAGACATGGGGAGGATATACAAGCCCTATACAAACAGTCATCTAAGGGTGGAATCAAACCTGGGTCCCTGATGCTGTGAGGCAGCAGTGCTAACCACTGAGCCACCATGCTGTCCCAATAAATAAACAGCAGAAGCTCTGTCTGAGAGGTCTCAAACAACTAACCTTTCAGTTAACAGCCAAATGTACTGACCAATTGCGCAACGGAGACTGACGGATGACTTTTTGGACAACTCTGTGGCTTATTCCCTGCTTCTGAAATTCGGTGAGAAATGCTGTCATGATGATAACTTAGCAGAATACATGAACTCTCATTTCCTGACCAGGATTTGGACCCTGGCAGCAGTGGTGAAACCACCGAACCCCAACCACTAGGTCACCAAGGAAGGTACAGTTTTATTTGGTTTTCAAGAACAAAGAACAAAGAAAATTTCAGCACAGGAACAAGCCCTTCGGCCCTCCAAGCCTGCACCGACATGCTGCCCGTCACAACTAAAACCCCCTACCCTTCGAGGGATCATATCCCTCTATTCCCATCCTATTCACTTATTTACCAAGACGCCCTTTTAAACGTCACTATCATATCTGCTTCCACTACTTCCCCCAGCAGCGAGTTCCAGGCACCCACAACTTCTGTGTAAAAACTTGCCTCCTGTATCACATTTAAACCTTGCCCCTCACACCTTAAAACTATGATCCCTAGTAACTGACTCCTCCACCTTGGAAAGAAGCTTCTGACTGTCCTCTCTGTCCATGCCCTTCATAATCTTTTAGACCTCTATCAGGTCGCCCCTCAACCTCCATCGTTCCAGTGAGAACAACCCAAGTTTCTCCAACCAGGCAA